CCCGAGGGGATCTCCCGCAAGCCCCGCTGCCCCCACGTGCCAGGGCCTACCGTGAGGTGAGAGTCAAGTGCGTCTCCAGCGGCCCCGCTCCCCTGGGGATCCCAGGGGCCCCCTGTCTCCCCTGGCCCCACTCCGCCCAGGACCCCGGGCGTCCCCCGTCTCCGATGGCGCTGCTGTCCCCAGGATTCCGGGAGCCCCCTGTCTCTGACAGCACCATTCCGCCCGGGATCCTGGGCATCCTCCCTATCTCTGAGGGCCCCGCTCCATTGGGAATCCCGGGCACTCCCTGTCTCCCCCGACTCCGCTCCACGCGCCCCTGCAGCACCAGCTGGGACCCCAGGCACCATCCCCAGCTCCCCCCATCCTGCTAGCACACGGCCCCTGCAGCACCATCAAAACAGCAGGACTACAGAGAAAGGCAAAGAGAGACAACAAATCGGACACCAAGGGCTTCTTAGGGTTGAGTTGGCAAAAATTAGTTACAGTATTTGCTGGCCTGCACCCGCTCAACAGCACTGAAAGAAACACCCCTTCGGGATGCCTTTTACCCACCAGGAGCAGCTCAGGGGAGCTCCGAGCCCTTGACGTGCCACCTCCCCGCTCAGGAATGAGCTCAGCCCTGCGACGCCCCGTGCGGAGCTCTGCGCCCACCCTGCTCTCCCCGGTGTCCTCCCCGGCGCCGCCCCCGCCAGCTGCACCCGACGCGGCCGGCGCCCCTGCCGTGCCGGGAACGGCCCCTCGGACACGCACCGTGCTCCAGGAGTGAAGCCAGGCTGGGAGCCCCGGGCAGCAGCCTCCCGAGGAGGAGGAGCAGGATGAAGAGTGCTCGTCTCAGTCAGCTCCTTCACAGGCCTGCTGGTCCCAAGAGGAGCAAGGGGGCATTTCAAAGCAGGTTGCACCCAGACCCTTGCCCTTTGGGGACACTTCTCCGGGAGATGCTGCGCGCCAGTTCCCTGGGGGCAGCTCACGCAGATCCGCTGCCTCATCCCGCACGGCCGCCCACCCCGAGTGGGGCCTGCGGCTGCTGCCAGCGCACAGGGAGCACCTGGCCCCGTGCGGCTCCCCGCTCGCACCTCCCGTTGCCCGGCTCCTCCTGCGGGAAAGCCCTGCTGGGCACCTGCCAAAGCCATGCGGAAGCCCAACAGCCCCGTGCCAGCAGCAGGGCCCTACAAGGGCTGGCGTCCTTACGGC